ATATATATAAAGTACAAATTACTATACTAAAAAGTGTATTTGTTTTTCAAATAGTTTTTTTACTCTGCTTTAGATGCTGTCTACGTAATTTAAAAAAAATGACTGCATTCTTAACGCATAAATTTAAAAATATTAACACATAGTTTGTGGGGTCCTAATGATGAGTAACTAAATATTTATTTTCTGTTAAAAGCAATGTTCTTAACCAGTATCCCCTGTTAAACTCTTCAATTAAAGAAAATCCTGTTTCACACTTGGGTGAATTTTTAGTCGCATCAAAAATAAAAGGAATAAAGCGTTTGTGACAGCAAACGACAAATGCATCTGTTATCTGTTATCTGAGAATAAGAAGTTCTTTATCCATTTTTCTTGACGCGTCGAACACCGTTGCGCTGTGTTGTGCCAAGAATTTTAGACACTTGAGAGCTACGCCATTTTTCTCATTTCTTTGGAACTCTTTCCTGTCGTCAATCTAATAGTTTTTGTACGGCGAATGCAGAATTAGATTCCTTTGGTGAGCCAAAACTCTAATTATATTCAAGGCCGTGATGAAAATGGCTATCTTTCATAACTTGATTACGAGATTTGAGGAATTGGCAGGAGTTATGTTTGTAAAATTTTTTTGTCGAAAAATGGAACGATGGGAATTTGCCAGGTAGTGTGGGGAACTTGAATTATTAATTTTTATCCTCCCTCTGAGAATAAACAGTAAAATGTAAAAGTGTATCTGCGGCTTTCGAAAAATGTTAGGTATCAGCAATTTTTAAGCTTATCATAATCAAAAAGAGAGAAAACTTTAAATTAAATTTGATATAATGATTTGATTTTAACGAACTAAGGCTCTCAATCCAAATAGTTTTAGGGTCTAACTAAAGTATGCGAATATTATTAATTAGCATAGGCGATATTTTAAATTAGGAAGTTAGACCTCAAAACATGTATTTTTAGAATAAACATGTTTTTTTCGACGGATTTGGAGTTTTGGTTCTAAAAATATGGAGGATAGCTGATATGAATATCGTTCGTATAGTTTAGGCTGCTTAGCTGTCGAAAGTTTAGTCTGCATGATAATTTCATTTTTACCCTACATCGATTTTTCTCTCGAAATAAGGAAGCGATACAAATAATTTTTGCAAACCATTAAAAACTTGTTTATCCAATAATAATTCCATGCAAAAATGTTTTTATAATTATTTATTGTTTTTGAATAAAATTAATTTTTTTAAAGTTTTAATTGTAAGGTTTACAAATTCTTTCACCATCTTAATAAACGTAATTTGAAGTAGTAAAATCCAAAATTTGCAGAGATTTGGTCGTAGAGTCTTGAGACATGAAATTTTAAATGAAGGACTTAAGATGGTGAAGTACGTTGAAGACTATATTCTCTAGATTACCCATATTTTGAGTATGAAGAATTCATATTCATCGAAAAAAAGGTGTGTTTGTTTAGAGAAAGTAAGTTGTTGAGTCTGATTTCATACTTTAAAATATCATCTGCACAAATTATTTTGCACATTTAAGGTTGACCCTTGAGCCGTAATGATAGTCATTCATTGGATCAAAAGTTATTAAAAGAATTCGTAACAAATAAACAAACAAATAAATTCCTTTTATTATTCAATATTATTTTTTGCAATATAATAACTGAAAATAAAAAGTTATTTATCATTTCTCCTTCTTTGTTTTAAATACAAAAAAATAAAGTATATATTTGTTTCTGTCTACTCTAGTTTTTGATTTAAATCGTCATTCAAAAGTTTTTGCTAAACAAAGAGTCATTAGTAAAATATCTGATCAAGTGATAATTGAATTGTCTTGAAAGTGATTTTTTGAATGCTAATTAATGGCCTAAAATATAAACATCACACTGACTGACAAACTGAAAGTTTATTGATTTCGGAATTTAAGAATTAAGGCACGAAGTAAATTATTTTTTAAGTAACACATTAAATTGTGCATAAACTAGATTAAAATGGAGAAGTTTACTAGAAAAAAAAAGATGCTTTATAAACAAATTCTTGATGTTTCTGTAAATTTTAGACTCTATACAATTTACTGTTATGAGGGTTTACATGCAATTTCACTGAGTTTTTAAGTCAGTTTTTCGAAGACTTTCTCGTCATGTTACTTTAAAAGTTTTAACGGACATTCCTCAGTGTTTCAAATACAATTGACAATTTTTAAAGCCTGCTATAAACAAAATGGAAGGGGATAAATAAGTACGATTTGATGTTTTCTGCCTGCTTTGGTAAGTTTTCATTCTCACCAAGTAAAAAAATTAGTTACAAATTCTTCAACAGATGGCGTTGCTAACTGAGAAGAACTTTGAAAAAATGTTTTCAAAATAAACACCATTTGCTACAAAAACGTACCGCAGGATTGATGGCAAAATTTACTGAAGCCCATCAAATATTTCATTTGCAATTATCTGACGTGTTACAGAAAACAATGTTTGAGAGTTTTTTCCAGTCAGAAGCACATAAGCAATTGAGTACTCCAGGCAAAGAAAATCAAAAAAACAATAATTAGTGTTTTTAGGTCATCTCTGAACTGGCTTTAAAAATGAGGGAAAATGGCTTAAATAAAATTTTCAAAAATCTCTATTGATCAGGGGTGAGAGTTTTCTGCAGGAAGAGAAATATTCCAAATATTTTTATATGGAGTTACCAGATTTGAAAATAAAAGCAATGAAAATGTAGAGAAGCATTAAAATGTTACTTTTTTTACGGCTTTTTCAAAGTAAATAACTCATAATTTGATACATGAATATGCAGAAGAATAATTTGTTTAGCGATGAACTCTAGATATGTTTTTTTTTAATTACCCAGGCATTAAAAAAAGTAGCGTGTTCTTCCATGAAGTGATTTTTCTCGCCTATTCCGAAATTCCAAAATTCCTACTTATTATATGCTTAAAAAACAAGAAAAATTCCGTAAACATGAAAATACCTATAAGTAAAAATTGTGTTTAAAGTTTCGCGGTGTTATAGTTGTGTTGCATTGATATATATTAAAGTTGTAGTCTTGTTCTTATTAAGAGACAATGAATTTTATTATGTCAATGAGTTTTTTCGGTTCAACTTTTAGACAACGTAAAAGAAACTAGTTTTTATTTCTTTTGAAAATATCTTAAATTTTCTTAAAATGAACCTAAAGCTAAATTTGAATGCAATGATTTCTTATTAATTGTTCTTCAGCTTGAAATAGAAAAAATTTGAGCTTTAAAACCATCCGAAAGAGCACTACAATAATATATCAATCAAACGAAAGCGTTCTGTCACATTCTATCTTCTCACTACCAAACATTCTTTTTTTTAACTCGACATTTGCCATCCATTTTTATTCTTCCGTGCTATGCGTGAGTGGGAGTCACACAATAAGAACGTTTTTTCTAAAATGATCTAAACGGGCAGTACCCGTCAGTTCTTGGGCTTCCAAATTAAGAAAGTCGTATAAGCACCTTGATTTGTTCTCCTTGCATCTTCCATCTCTTTTTACCCGAGAGTGAGTGAGAACTTTACCAAAGTGCTAGATCTCGAATTGTGTCCCGCGTTCATGTTTACGTGTGACTGACTGAATTGAAATGTTGACATGGGGATTGTTGATGTCCTACGTGTTTCTCGCCAACGCTTTGCCAACTGTGATACGCTTGGGTGAGTGTTTATCATTCTGTCTTTTTAAAATGAAATTGATTGCGCCGTAATGTGTTTCATAAATTAATCAAATTTTTTGAAAGAAAGAGCCAGCTCTTTGGATAATAATAACTCAGAGAATGTTTAAAGATTAAGAAGATCATGCGAAAAGGTTGCTGTTTAATTTAAACATTTTTAAAAACTACTTTACATAATTGCAACTGCTGCCTACATACGAACTTATCAATAAAAGTGTTTCTTTTTTAAATGTGTCGACTAGTTTATACAAAATGTTTAATCGAAATGTGTTTTTAAAATATAAAATACTTGATTATAAGCAGGAAAGTAATGTTAAAATGTTTGTATTAGATTATATCTTCATAGATTAAATATTAAGAGATTTAATTTATTTTTTATTAGTTGTACTTGTACTTGTAGACCATTACGGATTAAAGTGTAACATTTATTTTCTAAAAACTCTTTTAGAATAAAAATAGCAATTGTATAACATGACGAAACATTTTGCTGTTATAAACAGCTGTACAATTACGTGGCGAATATAGTCATTATCTGGATTAACATTACATTCATATCTGGATAAGCACAATTAATGATTTCATTTTTATAATGTTTTCCTCCTTTAAGTATTTAATTACTTTTGTAATAATAATAATTCATTTTTAGTGTTGATTATAATTTTTTTTTGTAATTTTAGTATTTTTGTGATTTGAATCCTTTTTTTTATTCATTACTCAATTAAATATCATATAGTTATAGAATCATACCATATTGAAGACCCATTAATTTGAGAATTCCAACGTGCGCTGTTTCTTACGAATTCTTACTTTATAAGTAAAATGTGTATTAAAATCGTTTAACACGGAACACCCTATTTCAACTCGCTTGTTAAACTTTATATTTTTATAACAATTCTTTTATAAGCATGTTTCAAATATTACCAAGAATCTGTGATGCCTCAAAACTATGAAGAGTTCTAAATTCTAAATCTTAATTTTTTAACCCTAACTTTATATGGGGTTAAAGTAAATACAATAATAATTTATATAAGAAAAATAGCGGTTTTACAGGAAGTATTTTTTATGCAAGCAATAATTATCAGTTAATCCCAATAGCACCAAATTACCTTTCAGAAAAATGCAAGCATTTTTAAAAATAATCAAAGCTAATGGTAAGTTTGTCCACTCAATTCCTTTTTGTGTAGTTATTTATTTTTTAAGTAAAATAAAATGTCAAAAATTCTGAAGCAATCAAACGTCAGTTAGACTGAAGAATAATGTCAGACAGTTGACGCTTCGACGGAATTTAAATGTTGCAGAAAACATACTTAAAAACAAGCCTTTCTATCAAGTAAACGAGAGGTTCTAGAGACAGTTTCCTTTGTTTAGATTTTATGGTTTTCGGAGAAGACAATAGGAACAATCGGAAGCTTAAATATTTCAGCGTTTAAAAACGATGCTTAATTATTCTTTTGTTTCAGTTAACCCGTTAAAATTTAGCCCTCCTTTTAGGGACGATTCTAGGACATAAAGTGGCAGAAATTAATTTTCTAACATATAATTAACGCATATTTTTAAGTATTAATTCCACTTATATTTTATAAATATTGGTTTCAAGCATTTGGCTGACAATATATCTCTTAAAATAAATAATCCCAAGAAATTGGAGAGCTAAGATATTGCGTGATTAAAAACTTCGTTCACTTCAAAAATATACAAACTCTAAATAACAGGCCACATATATCTAGTGCTCAAAAGCAGGAGCCCATTTTCAAGACTTGTCAGACATGAATAGGAAAAAAACTGTTATTTTCAATTAGTATAGTTTGTTTATAGTATATTTTAGTGTATTTATAGTGTATTAGTATTTTTTAGTGAATAATGTTTTTAACCAAGTAAAGTAGCTTTTTCTTATTTCTTAGTCGTACCAAAAAGTATTTTTTTCTGAAATCTCAACGATAAGTAATAAGTTTGTTTAATTATTAATTGCATTATATTACTAACAATAGTTAAAGGCAGAATAAATATAATTTCGAAAAGTGTATTTATTTTTATTATCTGAAATAATTTTCTAAGTATAGGATACTTCATCGATAGTTTGGATACTTAGAAGAAGAAGGCTATTTTGTTTTGAAATATATCATAATGTCATGTTTTGATGCATATTTTTGCAGTACGTCCCTAAGTACCAAAAGTGTGTCGAATTTTGATTTAATCTTTAGGCAAGGTTTTTAGAATTTTTAAGACAGTATCTTATAGTATCTTTTAGGAAATTTAATAATTATCTGAAAAAAACATTGTTAAAAATCACAGTTTTGGAGTTAATGAGATACAAATTAAGAAACATATCACTGAATCAGTTACACATACTGTCTGTCTAACTGAAGAACATCTCCCACCACAGACTTTGGGACTGTCTGTTGCTATGGAAACAAAGGCACATTTCAAATGAGGAGAGCTTTTTTTTAATAGCCCGATTTGAAATATGTGTGCTTATTTCACACTCCCACTTGAATAGTTTAGTGTGACACACATGGCCACAGACATTGCTTCAGACAACTGGCAAGTAGAGCTTTTTTTTATACTGACAGTACTGTATGTTAAGAGTCAGTTCTAGAAAGTCGAAAAAATAAATATTGTTTCAGAATTGTGTGCACGAAATGTAAAACATTTTTTTTATTTGATTACATATTTTGCAGTTTTTATATGCTTTTGATAATGATCAGAATTGTATGCTTTAAAATATATTAAAAGTTTTTTTTAACTTAATTATTATTTTGGGTAGAAAATCACAGAGGTAATCTCAGGAGACGAAGGGAATTAAAAACACTTTTTTTCCCCATAATTCATACGATTCTGGAACAAAATAGAAGAAATAATTTGGATGAAAAATAACATTTTGACTAACTTTTAAAGAAAAAAGTTCCCCTCTTAATTGTCTTAGTTTTATAACGAGTCAAGAAATATTATTTTTATTAGCACGGATATAATCCTTGACATTTCCATATAACGAATGTATATATACATTTAAAAAAATTACTTGATTTTTTGAGAATTTTGCCTTCTAAAATTTCTACCTGGTCTAAAAATGTTACCCGTAGCGAAAAAAGAGGAAGTTTGAAATTTAACTTCGTATTTCGTTTTGGATTTTAATCGATAATAAGCTATTAGTCATTGTAGTTTTATAGCTAGTTATATATTTCTCCACAAATATTTTTCTTATTCAATTCAATCTGAGGGGTAAACGTTCGGTTTTGGTACACTGTAAGAAATCTGTAGTATTACTAGAAAATGTATTGGAAAATTGGATTCCACAAACTTTTCTAGCAACATTATTGCATTAAAATTAGTTATCATAGTATATTTGTTAAGTTTAAAGCAGAAAATTTACTAATAATATGTAGTACCATTAGAGGAATCCGTACACTGTAGAATCCCACCTTTTTAGAGATTTTCTATTAGTAATATAGATTTCTTCCATAGTGCAGTTTGTCGAGGACAAAAATCACTTTTGAAATTTTTTTTTGTTATTAATTTTTTCTTGAACATTTTTCTTAATAAATTCGATTATAAGCTCTGAAGGGTGCAATCTTTTGTCTTTGATTCTGTAAGAAATCTATTGTATTACCAGAAAATTTATTGGAAAATTGGATTCCACAAACTTTTCTATCAGCATTATTACATTAAAATTACTAAACATAGTATATTTGCTAAGTTTAGCACAGTAAAGTTACTAGTTACATGTTGTGCTACTAGAAACAAGGATTCCAACCATAGAATCCTAGTTTCTATAGAATCCCAGTGTGTTAGGAATTTTCTAGTCGTAATACAGATTTCTTTCACGGTGCTGTTCGACAATTTATCACTTTTGAAAATGCAAACTTTAAACATCTATCTCAGAGATATGTAGGAGTGTTCTTATATAGATTAAGATTACTTCGATTTTTTCATTCATGGATAACATAAAAACTGTGTTTAATGAAGATTGCGCTTAAAGTCAAGGACTTGGGTATATTATTTATGTGAAGCGTGGTTTCATGTCAAAATTACAAAGATAATGTTGAGTCCTCCAGTATTTTAGAGTATCTTTTATGGTCACTTATTACGTTGGTTGTGCGTAACATTTAATATACATTTGTTGTGATTCAATAGGTGGTTTATTTGATGCCTCTGAAAAAGAACAACAACTTGTTTTTCAAATTGCAGTAGATCGAGTAAACAACAACAACGCAGTTTTGCCTTTTTCAAATCTCAGTGCTCTTAAAGAAATTCATCAACCAGATAACAGCTTTGATGTTTCAAAAAAAGGTAACTCAGACAGATTATTTTTGGAATATTAGAAGATTTAATAAATCTAATTAACATTATAAATTTGTTAAATTTAACATGTTTTTAAAGTTTTTAGTGAAATGTTTTGTCATTATAGTACATGTTTAGTTTTTTCTGTTTGGCATATTTATATAAAGTACTTATATAGGTTTAGTAGGGCTTTTAATTCGCATCAGTAATAAAAGATTCAAATTTTTATTTGGAATTACAGGGACATTCAGAGGAAAACAAATGAAGACACTTATAAAACCATTCTGTAAAATATAGAATGGTTTCTCATACGATTAATTTCAACCGAAAAAAATAAGAATTTTGTTGAAGTTTTGAAGAGAACCTAATTGATCCCAATGATTTTCGATCCCAATTTGAATCCTTAAAAATGCAGCAAAAAATTATGTTTATTTTTTATATTTGAAATATTTCGAGACTAATGGTTAACAGTTTTTTTATAATTTTTTTTTTTGTAAACTTCTTAAAAGTACATGAATTAATTTTTTTTCTCGCTTTATTATGTATTAATCTATAAATTTTCTTTGTAACATTAAGAAGATGTTTGAACATTCAACAACATTCAAAACATTTTTGTTAGTTTTTAACAAAACTAGGAATAGCTATTCTCCTTTATGCTTTTTTATTTATTTAATAGTCATACTATACTTCGTCTTTATTAATTTTAAAATTAAAGTTTAAAAAATACGGTTATTTTAAGATTTAAAATTATTGTTTACTTTTTGCGTTTAATTTTTTTAAGTGAATTTATGTATAAAAAATTAAATTTTTTTTTCTTCATTTAAAAAAGAGGGCAATCTATATGAAGCAAATATATTCCAAATTTTTCTCATAGTTTTAATGATAAGATCCTTTTAAAATTAGAAAAATATGAAAAAAAGAAAATATTAAAAAAAACTGAATTCAAGGTAGCAACATCAGAACTTGAAATTTAATACGGCGGAAAATATTAGTACGGGGTATACTATACTATCATTATAATAAATATAATATGATGAATTTAATACAGGGATAAATCTTATTAAAAGTATCAAATGAGACAAAAACAGTATTTTTCCACATTTAAAAGTTAATAATTAAATTTAAATAATAATAACAATAATGATGATAACATAATTATCTCAAAACGCTCATTATTTTAGTATTTTGGTTCCTCTTAAATAAAATAATTTTAAATGTGTTTTGTCATAAAGTTTTTAACATTTGTTTTGTTATTTTATCAGTTTGCAAACTTTTGAGGAAAGGAATAGCTGGAATATTTGGTCCTCAATCAGCACATTTAAAAGTTAATTAATAATTAAATTTAAATAATAATAGCAGTAATGATGATAACATAATTATCTCAAAGCGTTCATGATTTTGGTATTTTGGTTCCTCTTAAATAAAATAACTTTAAATGTGTTTTGTCATAAAGTTTTTAACATTTGTTTTGTTATTTTATCAGTTTGCAAACTTTTGAGGAAAGGTATAGCTGGAATATTTGGTCCTCAAACAGCTCTGGCAGCAAGTCATGTTCAGTCAATATCAGACGCTCTAGAAGTACCTCACATTGAAATACGATGGGATTATAAATTGCAGAGAGACGATTTGTCTGTTAACTTACATCCACACGCGTCAGCTCTAAATCAAGCTTACATCGATGTTGTTAGGAGGTGGGGATGGAGGAAATTTATCATAATTTATGAAGAAAGTGAAGGTAGGTCAACTGTAATTTGAGTATAACACTAAAATTTTCTTTCTATTGCTTAAAGTGGCTTAAGAAAAATTTTCAATTTTGTACGTTGTATTCTAATTTATACAAATTCAATTTAATTAGTAAGTAGCATTGATAACTATTGCGATTTATCCAAATAGGATAAAAACTAAATAAGTTGATTGTTTTATTTGGAGCTTAAGATGTAATGGAAAAATCAGGTAGAGAAATTTTAAGTTGATTTATTTCTTATTAAAGCATTAGTATATGTATGTATTCGTGAGTTGAAAAAATAAAAATCTATGGCCTATAACTCTGTACATGAGTCATAGAAGCAGGAGGGGAAAATGTTGTACACTTCAACTAAGTACTGCCCAAAATTGACATCTAAATAAAGACTTCGTAGGTCGTAAAATAATATTCAACTTTTTTTAAAATTTATTTTCCAAATGATTATTTGAGTTAGCAATTTCAAGTTTTCATATACCTAGTAAATATGTTTAACAATATAAATATATTTTAATTTTTATTACAGAATCTTAACCTATCCCCATAGTTTTAGGAATATTTTAGAGAATTTAGTCAATTTTAGTTACAAGGGAACACCGTTTTGAATTTTATATTCAAATCTATAACAATCAGAGATGATTAAAATTAAAAATAAAGCATTTTTTTAAATACTAGTCTCAATTAGATCTTGTTCTTGGGTGTAAATTGGCAAAATTAAATAAATGAATGTTTTTCGGTAGCGTACGCCATTTTTCGTTTTATTTATTGTAAATTTTATTCACTATATTTAAAACAAGGGCCGGAATAACCTGGTTGGTAGGGCGTTGGACTCATGTTCGTGATAATGGGAGTTCGAATCCATCAGGCCGAAGAATTCCAGCATATTAAATTATGACTGGTTTAATGTTAAATCTGCCGCGGTGGCTAAGTCCGCCAAGTTCCCATAACAAATCAATACCTCTGGGGGTACTGATTCAGGAATTCCCTTGTCTCCTGGATTGGGTTTAAAATTATAAGGCTTCGGAGTTGAACATTGGTAGTCGCAAACTGAAATTTTTGTCGGCTGTTCAACAATCGTTACAAAATAAAAAAAATATTTTAAACAAAATTATTCGACTTTTATACGGAACGCACCATTTCAAATTTCCTCTTTTAATCAATGAACAATGATTTCGAAATTCATAGAATATGTTAGTTTTTTATATTTATCTCTAATATATCTTGTTCTGTGTGGCGTAAATTGGCTAAGACGACTAAAATATTTTTTTTGTTGCTAGAATCACCATCTCCTTTTATTTTGAAGATTTCTTACTATTTTTGTAATATTTTGAACAAAATTTCTTGAATCCCGTTTAATGGAATCCGCTAATCCGCACCACTACTCTGACTCAAAATTGGAAACCTCAGAAACCATAGAAATTGCTCAGTTTTTAACATTTAACTCAATTACATCTTGCTCATGGGCGTAAATAAGTTAAAATAACAACAAAAAAAACATTCTTTAGAGACATCACGATCTTTGAGATTTAACTTTATTTTTTTGTGTCTTACAATAGAATTGTAAAATATTCGCTAGAATATTTTACTTCACTGGTTTATTGAATATTCTTGTAATAAAGCTTAATTGTGCGTCTTACCCCACAACTAGAGCAAATCAAATTTAAATGTATGATTACGTTATACATATAATTTAAAAACATCCTTATTATTAGTTTTTTTTGTTTTCTCTTAGCACCAACTAAAAATATATTTTTAAGCTTTTATTTTAGTCACTGTAGAGTAAGAAATGCAACATTGTTGGAATATAGTTACGTGGTTGACCGTCTCTTATCCTCAAAAATAGATTCTCAAATATGAAATTCGGGTTCCATTTGTAAGAAAAAAATCAAAAATGAAAAGTATCTTGTCCATAGAGTGTAGTTTTGTGGTATATTTATCGCTAAATACTGTTACAGGCAATAACTATCAATGAATAATTACTAAAATTACCTACAAATTAAATTCTACGTAAACCACTAGAACATATTGTATAATAATTCAAGTATAGCAATTGAAGAAAAAAATTGATCCAGAGCCTGGCTGTCACATTTGGGTCCCTTTATTTCAATAATGGTTTGTACTTAAATTTATAAAATTAAAAATTATAAAAGTACGAAATATAAAATTAAAAGTTCGCTACAATTTAGGATCGCTTTTAAAACGGTGTCTAAATCCTTGAACTAATCAAGAGCTGTAGATAGGAATAGGTTGTTAATGCAAATTGAAATTTAATGCAATTGATGTTCTTTTTTATTCCTTTATTAAAAAAATAATTCCGTAACACAATTATCGCATTGAAAAAAAACTATATTTAACTCGTCATAACTGTATTTATAGTATAAAAAACAACTGGTTAACCATAAAAAACCTTACTGCTCAACATAGTTTCAATTTTACTGAAATTTCTTATCGTAATGCAATTTTTTTAGCTATTGTGAGACTTCAGGATTTTTTAACACAGACTTCTTCAAGTGAATGGGAAATTCAAGTGTATCAGTTCCCACCGGACAAACCTTACAGGCACTTATTCCTTCAGATTCGGTCTTCACAGGCAAGTATTTCATCCGAAGACATCTGCATTCTTTTGGATGTTCCAGCAAAAAGTTTGGGAGCTGTTCTGAAACAGGTAGAATTAAATTTATTCTGTTCTGGTTTAAAAGACATGCTAGCATTAAAATTAAAGGAAACTTGTTTTGCAGGCTCAGCAGGTTGAAATGATGACTGTGAAAAATAAGTATATTATAACATCAATGGTAAATATTTCAATGCTATAACACTTCATAAATTATTTTTATTAGTTATGGCTAATACAAAGATATTAGTTTATTTCTTGCTGATATACAATTTGGATTACTTTAGTGTTGTATTGATTTTGCTCTTGGTTAAGATTATATTTTTAATTTATGCTGCAATTATGTAACATAAATATTTAATTTTTATTTATATGTATAATGTATATCATTTGTTTCATGCATTGTATTTATTATCAAATTTGTAAAAAAAACAACAACTATAGTAATAGAGAATTATTTTGTCGGCAATAGATTCCTAAATAATTTGTAATAATATCAGGGGCATTTTATATCCTATATGTCATTTCCTATTTTATGTCATTTGTTTTTATTTGTAAAATTCGGCCTATTTGTATTTTGTATTGGACTTTGGATTCATTTTTCTGAAAAGAAAATAGTAATTATCTTTCCATATATATTTCTTTTGCGTGGCACCATTAACTCGGGTATTTCTCTATCTATTGGTAACACTATAGCTATTATTCATTTCGATAGGTTGTCTGAAATATTAGTTAAAAAATTTGTTTTTACTTTAAGTATTCATTTAGAATAATTTTTTATTTTCATAGAAATAAAAACATAGTTATGAAGTAATTATTTAGATTTATTTTTGATCTTTTCAAAAATGGCCGTAGAAATTTCAGAAATAAACTACGCTTTAGTACCACATATACAGCCATAACAATTGCTACTGATGACGGAGCTTGGCTTTTTCGAGCAATAGCATGCATATATATATTATGCGATCGTAATATATATATATATACGCACAAGTTATGGCTCGAGAGAATTATACAGCATGTAATGAAGCATTAGGATGCGTTATCAATCTTATTTCACAACAGATATGGAAATAATTTTAATACTTATGCTGCATACTCTGCTGAAATGTCCCGATGGTTTGTGTGATTTAATGACTATAGGACAGATTTTAAAATATTGTTAAAATTCGATGCACAGAGAACTTTGACAATATTACGGGCATATTTTGAAAACTTTAAAATTCAAATCCAAATATTTTTGCTCTGGTAATGCCGCAAGCAACAGCTAGACAGTGAAAAAAATTTGGTTGATAGGCGGAGGTTTTGAATCATTAGAATATTCGATTACAGTTGTGCTGTGCATTTGGCTTGTTTACAATTAGAGTTCATATTCTGTATACCAAGCTAATCACTAAAAGCGGAATATATAAAAGCTTTATTAGAAATAGAGTATCCCAAGTTATTTGCATTCTTACTTGTAATATTTTATTTCTACTTTTGTTCACTTTTGCGTCCTTTTTAAGCTTTGTTTGTTTCCCTTTGATTTACATTTCAATTTTTTTATTTACATTATGCAGCCCATTATTATCATGTAAGCTTATGGTGTAATTAAAAAAAGCGAATAATAATCTAAAACTTTACCGTATTGACTAAGATAATGGAAACAAATGTTGAACGAACCTTTCAATAAATATTCATTTGTAATACATTAGAGATAATGTTTTCAGGATCTTCATACTGTTGATTTAGAAGATTTCCAGTATTCAAGAGCAAATATAACAGGCTTTAAAATTCTCAACAGTAATAGTGTTGTTTATGAAGACCTACTGGAGGAAACGAACAAAAGGTTAAGAAGACACAAGGAAGAGCAGATCACTTCACTTACTGTAAGTCATTCTTATATAGTTCGTAATAAACTGAAATTTGCGAAATAGTAATCATAGAGTTATGCATAAATTTATTAAATTCACTTATTTTCTCTCTGAAAAAAACATGCTATATTGTTACCTGTCCTATAAACAGTATATGTGGATCAATATGCCAGATTTTCGTCCAATATTCCCACACTCTAAAAAAATCCGGTTTAAATTATTTATTGTAAAATTACATTTACTGTAAAATCACTGAAATTAAATAAGTTCCATTCCGTAATTTAATTAAATCAAATAATGAACTTATTCCCTGTTTCAAAAAAATAAGTCTTAAGAGTAGTTTAAACGGAAAATCCCATTCAAGTAAATTTGAAAACAATGTTTTTATGTGTGCACACTGTGATATAGTACTTAAAATGTTTTTTATTCTTCCTCTTAATGACCCCAAAGAGGGTTTAATAAATTTTTATCGTTTGTTTCAGACAGCTTCAGCAATGATGTACGATGCTGTGATGCTATTTTCCAAAGTTCTGCAAGATATAGATGGTGGGAAATTCGTAAATTCATTTCCACCGATATCATGTATTGAAATGACAAAAGGTACAGATGGAACAAGCATAATCAACTATATGAAATCGGTATTCTTTTATATTACATAGTTTATTTGCATTATTTTTAACCGAGTTATGTTATTGTAAGTGTTTTTGTTTTATTGTTAGAGATTTAGCATTATTATTTGATTTTTCGTATTTTTTTTGAATAATTATTTGATTTATGTTATTATTAGTGGATTTGTGGTATTATTAGTAGATTTGCACATTATTTTTAGTGATTTGCGTTATGAAAGCATATTGCATAGGGCGTAAAATAAAAAAAGGACCACTCTAAATAACTTTTGATNGGTCGGCTGTTCAACGACGGTAATAAAATTTATTTTGAAGGTCGATCATCTAAACCAGTGTTTCCCAAAGTGTGGTACGCGTACCCTAAGGGGTACGGGAACAGTTTAGCGGGGGTACGCATTCATATTAGAAATATGTTGCAACAAACGAAAATTTCAAACACTTTTATTTGAAAACAAAGCTAGCCATGAAAATTTACGATTACGTATTTTTCTATTGGCTATTTTTTGCTGAGTTTACAGTTAATAATGAGTGGTGTCAACAGCCAGTTGGGATATTTAACTTTTGTGCAATTTTTTGTAGTAAAGGTTTGTAATAAATTCTACTTATTTTGACTGCTTTTATAAAATATAATTTTTATCGCAGCAAAAACAATATAACCCTTCTCACTGATGCAAATAAACTTATTAAAAAAACTTTGTACCAAAAAATAAAGATATTTATAAAAAAAAAAAAATTCATTTTTTTATTAGTGGTACACAGTATTTCGAAAAATTTAGAAAGGGTACACAAAAGTCATAAGTTTGGGAAACACTGCTCTAAAAGTAACTGTGGAATATTTTTAAATGAATGTCTCTTGTTATTTGTCTTTTTGTTTACTGTACTGATAAAAAAATGCGTTTTCTTAATAAAATTACTTAAAATTTCAACGAAAGATTTTTTCTCTGCGTTAAACACTTTTTGTCATTTTCGTTGAACACTTTTGTCAAAAAGTTGATGGTTTTTCATACTGCATTAAATATCATAACGCCTCTCTTCTAAATCAATAAATCAGCATTTAAAAATGCTTGTTAAACTATTTGTTTCCTTGTGTCAATATATTTTGTGTTTTAACCTAGGATCTTTCAATATCTTTAATAAAATGTGATTACATTTTATAAAAAAAATTATTTTAAACTTACAATGAATACTTATTCTTCTGTTTTTAACTAAAAGTTGTGGGTTCTTTTTATTGAATTAAACATTTTGATGCCTTATGCTTCAAACCAGTTGAAGGAATTATTCAAAACCTTTAAAATTATTATGGTGCTTAACGATAGTTTAACAAATTTAAGCCAGGAAAATTAGCTTATTCTAAATGCCTAAATACATCAGTTCACCTAGTTGCTCCACCAATTAGTAAGAGCAATCTCAAAACTTATGAAACTTTGTAGTTCAGAAATTAAGATAGTTAAGAGCTAAAGGTTTAATGTTTATGCAACAAAATGTGCTTAGAGCAGCAAAACTAAGGTATTCTTAATGATAATGATATAGCGAGAATAGTATGAGTTATGAAGGGGTTCCTCTAAAAGTAACTGTGGAATATTTTTAAATGAATGTCTCTTGTTATTTGTCTTTTTGTTTACTGTACTGATAAAAAAATGCGTTTTCTTAATAAAATTACTTAAAATTTCAACGAAAGATTTTTTCTCTGCGTTAAACACTTTTTGTCATTTTCGTTGAACACTTTTGTCAAAAAGTTGATGGTTTTTCATACTGCATTAAATATCATAACGCCTCTCTTCTAAATCAATAAATCAGCATTTAAAAATGCTTGTTTAACTTTTTGTTTCCTTGCATTAATATATTTTGTGTTTTAACCTAGGATCTTTCAATATCTTTAATAAAATGTGTTTACATTTTATAAAAAATTATTTTAAATTTACAATGAATAGTTACTCTTCTGTTTTTAACTAAAAGTTGTGGGTTCTTTTTATTGAATTGAACATTTTGATGCCTTATGCTTTGAACCAGTTGAAAGAATTATTCAAAGCCTTTAAAATTATTAAGGTGCTTAACGATAGTTAAACAAATTCATGGAATGAAAATTAACTTATTCTAAATGCCTAAATACATTAGCTGTTCCCCCTGTTAGTAAGAGCAATCTCAAAACTTTCGAAACTTTGTAGTTAAGAAATTAAGATAATTAAGAGCTGAAAGTTTAATGTTTATGCAACAAAATGTGCTTAGAGCAGCTAAGGTATTCTTAATGATTATGATACTGAACAATTTATTAAAATAATGAGAGATTCAATATATTTTTTTCTGATCAGTAAACAATACATTTTAATTTCAACTGCCTTTAATTTATGCAGTTTTTTTAAAGAATCAAGAGAAATTTATAAAGTAGAATTAAAGACATAAATTTATTTAATAAACTTTCTTTGCATGAAAAAAAAAAGTTCGTCGTAGATAAGACGAGAATGGTTGTACCGATTGGTTTAGCGTTTTTTCCTTACAACGTTTCAGATATCTTTGCAATACTTTTCACCTTCTGCTCTGACTTGTTAACATACAATATTAAAAAACTGTATTTTTCTTGTTTTTTAGATAATAATTTAATACAAACCTGAATACAGATTATGTTTAAGTAAAAAATTTGCTTTGTCTATGCGTAAGAAATGAATAATTTGTTTTTAAAGCCGTAATCAAAAACTCTAATTAAGAATTAAAAAAAAATTTGATTCATAATAATAATTGTTCGACAGTTCGTATGACTTCTATAGAAATCGCATAATTTTGTTTTTAGCGGGATAACATCTAGTTCATAGAATTTTTTAACTTGAAGAAAATACCTGTCGTCTTCGTCAATCTCTAAGCAGCTAAAGTTGTTCAAGAAAAAGAAAACTTATTTTTTATCTGGATTATTTTTTAGTTGAATACACCAACTAGTAATTAAAAATATCTCTGTTCTGAAAAATGAAAGCAAATAATGGTAGAACATTTTCTTTCACACAAATTTTTTGTAAAAATATAGAATAATTGTTCTGTCGAAGAAAGAAAATAATGATAGAAAATTCTTCAATGCACTAATTTTCTATAGAAATTTGTGTAGAATGATTCTGCTCTGGATTATTAAGAACTATTTTGCATTGGAAAAGAAAAAATAATTTTGTTCTGAAAAATTATAAGTAATTAATACGAAAAAGGTTATCTCTTTTCTGGGAAATAAAAGAAAACAGTGTTGGAAAATTTTCTTTTTCACTAATTTACTGTAAAAATAAAAAAATAATTGTTCCGTCAAATAAGGAAAATAATAATGGAAAACTTTTCCTTACCCTAATTTTCTGTAGAAATATAAATAGAGTTGTTGAGAACAGAACTGATATAAAACTAAGGACTAATTTCGTTCTGAAAAATAAAAAGTAATTAATAATAAAAAGGATATCTATGTTCTGGGAAATAAAAGCAAATAATGATAGGAAATTTTCTCTTGTACTAACTTTCTGCATAAAACTTTAAATAATTCTGCTCTGGATTGAAAGCAATATTTATGTAGAAAATAAGGAATAATTTCTCCGAAAATGAAAGCAAATAATGATGGAAAATGTTTCCTTGCTCTCATTTTCTGTTTAAATAAAGACTACATACAAATTGCGTAAATGTCTTATAGAATTAAAGTATTAACTCCAACAAGGGGTCCTTTAAATTCTGAAATTTTCATATACGAGTGAATTGTTAATAAAGCATGATTAAAAGTAAAATTCCAGTTTTAGCCTTTCATCAATAAAATATTTTTAAAAAAAAATCGAATTGTTGCAATACGTACTGCCTTATATTGAGTTCCGTACTTGGAAGTAACTGTACTTTTAGTAGTATGGCTCAATTTAAGTTTCAAATGTGTAAAACTGACTGACGCAAGTTAATTTTTTCCAGAACAAATTAAGAGGTCTGACAGGGCAAATTCATTTTGATGGTCAAGGATTTCGAACGTCATTCGTGTTAGATATTCTACAGCTCTCAAAAAATGGCTTGGAAAAGGTAAATATAATATTAACCTAAGATGGCCAATGGTTAATAAAACACTGCTAGAAGTTTCTCTGAATAAATAGTAAAATTACAATTTATTTCATTGTTATTTTATTATACTCTACCAAAACAGTCAAATAACCATAAAAAGAAGGTATTCAAACTGCTAACGGAGAGGAGAATTGTTTATTGACTGTTTTTAGCTGATAGGATTAAACAACCAGAATTTTATCCATGTCAACCAATGATAATCGTGCGCATGTTCCTCGAAAGCTGCTTGCTAAGTCACGTAATAAGGATTAAAGATTCGTATTTTGATTTTCCATCATTGGATGCCTAACACAATAGCGGATGTCAAATAATCTTATAGTAATAAGTGCGTGGACAACACCTTAGGGAGCCACTTAGTTCCTTGCAGCTTGGTATATACTTTATTTGAGTAGATTAATCAGTTGAATGGGGACTCAAATCTCAGCATTGTCACCACCACATTCCCGTATTCCTGAAACAGGAGTCTCCAGTGTTCCATTTACAACGATACACGACACCACTGGATAAACTAATTCATCCACACTTCACGTTCATTTGATGAATCACAACTTGATATCGACCTACCTCCAATTTCTATTGATTAATTCTAATGTCTAGTTAAATTTCCCTTTTACGGTTTTGAAACCATGAAACCATTTTGAACGATATCAAATCTGTAAAGTGAAAGAAATGTTTCTAATCGAAAATTTTACAGTTAATTAGAGGGACAGACAGCAGCCGGTTATTTTGGAATGAAAGTTCAAGCAGTGTAGAACAAAGATTGTTTAATGAAAGAAATGTAGACCTTAAAATAAGTTCAATCTTATTATTGTAATTTTAATTATATTAGTATTATTTTTAAATTTATGAAATGCAATAATTTTAAATATATATATA